TGTCGCTTGTTTGGTTTGGAGAGTTTTGATTACTGTGTTGAGAAGATTGGCTATTTCGATGTAGACGGATTTGAAATCTTGGAGTTTTGTTCGTTGTATCAGAATTTGGGTCAAGATGGAGATTGTTGGGTTTGTGACCCAAATTAGGATGGATTTTTTTGGAAATAAATTATTTTCTTATTTTCATGTGGGAAAATTTGTTTCTTTATATTTCACATGATTTTTATAGAGATATATTATTTCCTTATTCCATATTATTTCCATCTTTATACTATGTCATGTAGGTATTGAACTTTTCTTTCAGTTTTGTTCAAGCAAGAATTGCTAGTGTTCTTGTATGTCTCTCCATATTGTTGATTAATAAAATGTCGTGCTTCTGTGATTAACTCTCTTTATTAATTTATTAACTTTATATCTTGTTTCTCGTTGCAATTTTCATTACTTCATGTCGCTTCATTAATCTCATTCACTATAATCCTTCCGAGTCCAACATCTACAACCTAAGATCACCATATCAAAGTTAAAAGATAGAGCTAAACCAATTTGTGTCCAACCCTACAGATACCCTTACTTCCAAAAAGCTAAAATAGAAAAATTGGTCAATGAATTGCTCACAAATGGCATTATCTGTGCAACCAAAGCCCTTTTTCTTCCCTTGTCCTCCTAGTTAGGAAATCTGGTGGAAGTTGGAGGCATTGTATTGAATATAGGTTACTCAATGCCGAGACAATTAAAGCTAAATTTCCTATTCCCATAGTTGATTAACTCTTAGTTGAGTTATATGGTGCCACAATCTTTTCTAAGTTAGACCTAAAATGACATTTCAAAAACTACCTTTAGGACTCATGAAGGCCATTATGAATTCTTGGTTATGCCTTTTGGACTAACTAATGTCCCTTCCACCTTTCAATGTCTCATGAATGACATACTTAAACCATTCCTTAGAAAGTTTTTGCTTGTATTTTTTGATGATAAACTCATTTATAGCAAGAACATGATAGAACATCAATTTCACCTTAGATCTATCCTAGAAACTCTTTAATAGCACTAGTTATTCGCTAAAATGTCCATATGCAAATTCTGTTGTCCAAAAATTGATTACCTAGGTCATATTATCTTTGTAGAGTAAGGACAGACTTTAGCAAGTTAGAAGCCATGCTCAATTGGCCATTCCCAACAACCATGAAATCGTTAAGAGCTTTTTAGGCTTTACTGGCTACTATAGGAAATTCATTAAAGGTTATGGACAGATAACCGCCTTTCTCACAACCCTTTTCAAGAAAAATTCCTTCCATTGGACTAATAGTACTAAAGAGGCATTTTTAAATTTAAAGCGAGAAATAATTAGTCTCCCCGTGTTAGCTCTTCCTAACTTCGATTTACCCTTTATGATTCAATGTGATGCTAATAGACATGGTATAGGGGTTGTTTTGATGCAACAGGGGAGGTCATTAGCATTCATGAGCCATGCAATCAAAGGAAAGGCACTACAGCTTTTTACCTATGAAAAGGAGCTCATGGCAGTGGTATTGGTAGTAAAAAAGTGGAGACCCTACCTGTTTGGTTGCTCATTCATGGTATAGACTGACTAGTAGAGCTTGAAATACCTTTTGGAGCACAGGATAGGCACACCACAGCAACAAAAATGGCTTACTAAGCTGTTGGGTTATGATATGAAGGTAGAATATAGGCTTGGAAGAGAAAGCAAGGTTGTTGATGCCTTATCTAGAAGGGAAATAAGGGCCGATTGCTAGTTGTAACCTCTCCCCAGTTAACATGGGTGGAATATTTGAAAAAGAGCTAGGAAGATGATCTTACATTACAGTTAAAGTTGCAACAAGTCAAGGAAGGAAAACTGGATTCTAACGTGTATTCTCTAATGAATGGGCTACTGATATATAAAGGCAGAATCTATATGGGTTCTAATCCTAAAGTTAAGGATAAGATAAAGTACTATCTTCATAACAGCCCTATAGGAGGACATTCGGGCTACCTGAAGGCACTAAAAAGGGTAAGGGCAGAGTTCATTCAGCCAGGCCTGCAAAAAAATAAAAAAATAAAATTGAAGCAGTATGTGAAAGAGTGTGACACGTGCCAAAGAAATAAAATTGCGTCTGTTTTACCAGTTGAACTTCTACAGCAGCTACCAATTTCTACGCAGGTATGGACTGATATATCCATGGATTTTATCGATGGACTTCTTAATTCTAATGGCCATACAATTATCTTGGTAGTGGTTGATTGCCTATCAAAATATGGCCACTTTATTTCCATAGCCCACCCGTATATTGCAGCCAAAATTGCCCATATATTCTTATCCCATATCTTTAAACTTCATGGCATGCCGAGTTCCATAGTCACACAGACAGAGACAAAACATTCACATTTATGTTCTGGAAAAAAAACTATTCAAATTACAGGGGACTAAACTCTGTTTTAGCTCGGCTTACCATCCTTAATCTGATGGTCAAACTGAGAACATAAACAAATGTTTAGAATAGTATCTACGATGCTTTTCTGGAAGACAAACAAGCCTATGAGCCCATAGGTTCTTACAGCAACTCTAATGGGCATTTATTTTTCCCGTCGATGGTATATTTAAGTTCAATTTCGTGGGACTTTCCTTAATTTTATAGGTCAAGGACAATGAGCTAGCCGACGTAGTTGCATTTAGTGTGAGAAATAATTATAAAGTGGAAAATATGATTACAGAAGCTATGAGTAAAGTAGGCAGGAAATGTGCAGCAATTCTTACAGAAGGGAGAAGTTCCAAGAACAATTTTTATGATGTCGAAGGCATGCAATTTGACTGTGGTTATACTTCTCCGTACTTTATCAGAGATAGTGAAAAGATAGCTGTCGAATATGAAAAGTGCAAGGTATTTTCTTTCTTTCTTTCTTTTGCTCGTATGCTTTTATTCGGTTAAATCCTTGGCGCATCAAACATTATAAAATCTTGTTCGATCATGCAGAATGCTTGTAGAGGGATAGATAAAATTCTCGTATCCCTTCTCATTGCCTCTCCCCTCTTCTACTATATGCACAAGTGTAAATATTTTATGCCATTTTAAATTCTTACTCCAGTTAAATAGAAAATTGTTGTTGTATATCATGAATAGGAAATTTTAGATTCTACAAATAGCACAATGAAAAATATCATTAGAGAGAAGCCTTACAATCATGGTTAAAGATAGTATAGGAATTTTCATCAAGTGAGATGTATGTATATCAATAGAGACATAGCATAATGAGTGCTATTTGTTCTCTTCATATCATTTCTAAGGTTTTGACTCTTCTCTATGGTGAAGGCAACAAGTTGGTATTTTATACGATAATGTACCCTTCAATTATAGAAGAGTTGAGGGTTATAATTGTCCAATTAGCATGTATAACAAATTATCATTTATCAGGATACATTTACTTTCATCTCAGGAAACTGGATGCCGGTGAAGCTATTGAATGATATTGTGTGGAGATTGATAGATCAGATGCTTATATGCAGTTAGTTCATCTGTCTCACTTTTCAGTT